TAGTTTATAAAGTCCCTATAAAGTCTTAAACACTATAAGCTACTTATTTTCTTTCTATATTTTTATTTTGTTAAATCTGTCTTATATGTTAAACTTTGTAAAGTACTAGGTTTCTTTTAATTAGTTTATAATGTTTTATATAATTAGTAGAGGAAACTAATTTTAGACTATGTTATTATTTAGAGTTCTATAATCTTAACATACTTAGATTTTTTTCTCCTTTCTTTTTTACAAAAACTATAGCTAACGCTACTAGGCTATAGCTTTTCTAAATGTAGCCTTATGCTAACATTTTATTAACATACTCCTGTAAGGCTTCCTTCTGTGCCCTTGTTAAGGGACAGAGCTTGTAGGTTTTTAAATTATAGTCTTTTATTAGGTTAATAGCGTGATCTTAAGGTTAGTGTAGTAGTAGTTCTTCTAAATTCTCTAGTGTCTTAAACATGTCCTTATAATTTTTATACTTAGGCAGGATGCAGCCTTCTTCTTAGGTTTAGATAATGCTAATTTATTCTACATCTTTATTAGTTTTAATCTTCTTATAAGAGACTTCTTTAAGTTTTTTTTTATTATTTTTATTACCTAGGCTTTTAGCTCTTAGTAAGGAAATTTCTAGAGTTTTCTTTTCTTAGAGTAGTAACTGCTACTCTGTTTTACTTATTTATAGACTAGGTAACAGTTATTATAGCATGCTAACTAGGTTATGTGTGCATAGTTGTTAAGAGTCTTTATAGTTATAGTTTTCTAGTTAATTGCAGGATTATAGGTTCTAAGCTAGTTGTAGCCTAGAATTACATTGTATTTGCCTTTTAGCTAGAGTATATTTATAGACCTCTAGTCTTTTATATTAGGGGTCTTAAAGTCCTTTTTATAGGTTTCTAGGTTAATTTATCCTCTGCTATATTTAATTAATAATGTGTTAGTAAGAGTTACCTTAAACAAGTTTTTCTTTATTTAGAATAGTATGCCTTATTTATCTACCTAATCTTTATCTATTATAGTAAAGGTGCATCTGCTGTCTATAAGGGCTAGTCTAGGCCATCCTTTGTACGTAAAGGTAGTTGTTAGGCTGTGTCCTGCCCCTTATCCTACTGTAATTACTGCTAATATGTTATATTTAACTTCTTTATTAAAAAGAGGATATAAGTTAATGTCTTATAAGTTATTATTAAACTTATTTTTCTTTTTTTTATAAGTTTAATGTTCTTAATTACAGCAGTTAGCTGCTTTACATTTGTAATTTTTAACTAGGTAATGTAATGTTAGATAGTCTTCTTTTCTTGCTACTTTTTACTAGAAGTAGTAGAACCTACAGTTGTCTTATTCTTTACACACTGCCTATCCCTCCTGCTTGTGTAGGGGAGCTATTTAGCAGGTGTAGCAGTTTATAGTTTTGCAGGCTAAGGCTGTTCCTTGCTATAGGCATCTGTTGTAGTTCTTTTTCTATGTAGGCTACTAGCCTGTTCTATGCTTATTATCTTAATGCTTAATGCAATACTGTCGCGTGCATTAGTACTAGGGGTATAGATAATTGTTAGGTCTATGTAACGTGTTAAAGAGGCTCTCCTAAGTCTACTGTAGGTATTCCTAGGTTTGTACTATCTAAACAGGGTGTCCTTTTTATTAGTAATTATTAGTGCTATAGGTTTTGTTTCTACAGAGTGTGCACTAACTATAGCTCTATTACATTATTAAAGCCTTCCTGCTAATTATAAGGCTTAGAAGTAGTGTCTTAGGTTTTCTAGGTACTAGCTTTAGGACTTTAAACCTAGCAGGTCTGCCTAGTCCTTCTAGTTTCTAGTCTTAGATTTTTATAAAGAATTACTATTACTTCTTTTTATCTATAATGTTATATTTAACCTTAGCTATACGTTGTATAATGTTAAATGTAAGGTAGTTATTGCTAATATTTATTTAATAAAGCATAACTATGCAATAACTTAAGTAGTTATGTTGTAGGCTACACTTCTAGCATTTGCATTCCTAAAACTGTTAGGAGAGCTCTTTTGCTAAAGTGCTAAGGGTTTAGTCTTAAAAGGGGAACTGCTCTTCCCTTTTTTAGATGTTTATAATATATTCTTAGATCTAAGTCTCTTCTCTATATTCTTTAAAGATTATAAGGTCCTGCAACACTATATTAAAGCTACTAAAATTTTAAATAACTACCTTTTAATACACTTTAGGACAGTTCTTTAAAGAATAGTTACCTCTGCATTGCTAGTAAAGTTTATTATCTAATCTTTCTAATATTTCCTTGTCTATAAGGCTGTATTTAGCAGTAATAGCTTTTATTATTATAGTAGTATTTTTATTTTTCCTCTTCTAGGAGTTTAGGCAATTTTAGCAGAAATGTCCTACTTTTTTACAGTTTAGGCAGGCCTTATTCTCTAGCTACTTTTGTTGTTCCTTTATTAAAAGCAGCTTATTACGTCCTAGAACTTAGCTCTTTTTAGAGGGGGGGCTTTATATATGCTTTATGTAACTAAGGTTTATTAGTTCTTTATTATATTATAAAAGCTTTTTTTTCTTAGAAATAAACTTTAGTCTCTAGAGAGTTTCTTTTTATTTCTTTTCTTTTTTACACTCTCTGTAACAGTTGTTATAGGTTGTTGCTTACATAATAAAGTTTTTAAGAGTAGTTAGTTTTTTACTGTGTATAAACTTATCCTTTACTATTTTGCTTAGCTTATTATAGAACATGCAGCAGAGAGCTTTCTAATCTGTCTATCTGCAGATAGCTAGTTGTTCTCTAAAGCGTGCTGCATAATTCTAAACTAGGTTGTTTTCTTGTTTTATAGTGTCTAGCTTATTAGCTGTAATTTTCTTTTTATTTAAAGTTTTATAAATAGCTATTAAGGCTTCTTTAAAGTTTTTAATGCTACTAAATATTTCTTTAGTTTTAAAGGTAAGTGCTTTACTATTTACCCTAAAGTTTATCTAGTTATCTGCATAGGGTTAAAACTAAATTATAGGGGAGCCTTCTAGGTGTAGTCCTATTTAGGATATTATTTCTATATTAGTCTAAAATGCTTCTTTGTTGTATTACATGTAGAGGTAACATTTTATAAAGAATAGTTAAAGGTTCTTTAATAATTTTTTAAAAGGCTTTAAAAAAGCTAGTCTTAAAGTCTTTTTAGCTATAATACTTGCCTTTTTTATTAAGATGTTCTGTATTTTTACTAACTCTACTTATAGTTTGTAAATTTAATAGGCGTAGTTAGTAAGTTTCTAGAGGCTTAAAAGTCTTAGAGATGTTTATAATTCTATTATTTTTTAGTAAAAGTTAGCAATTTCTTGCTTAAGTTTTAGTAGCTTACTAACTTTATTACTAATTTATTAGAGTTCCTTAATATTATCCTAGATTAAATTAATCTGTTCTGCTAGGACAGCTTTACTTTAGGTAGGAACTTCTGTGGATCTTAATAGCGCAGCGTAGGCTATGTTAGAATCTAAGTTGTGTTGTAAGGTATCTATACTTTTTAAAGAGGGTAGTGTTTAATGTTATAATTCTTGCTTTAAGAAGCACTTAGGTCTGCTTTAATTCCTAGGGGAGAAGTAGGACAGGTGGTAGGGACTAATCTGGTAGAGTGTACAGTCCTACGTACAGGCTATTGGGCTAATGGAGGATAGTTTAGGGTGACCGGATTGTGGTTTGCCCTATGTGCGGCAGTAGGGAGGCTGGGGTCAAACAGTCCTAATAGACAGGGTTAGAGGTATATATAGTGCAAGATATACAAATAGTATTACAGCTCTTTAAAAAGCTAAATGCTACTTAGTCTATGTAAAGAATAAACTAAACATTAAACACACCTTCTAAAGGTTGTTTAATGTGGGAACTATATACATGTGCTGGGGCGCCAAGGGGAGCTGGCGGGAGTTTATGGGAGCTTGCTAAGGAGACTCCTGCGGGCTCCCTTGAGCTCCCTTGAGCTCCCTGAATTCGCGGCCTGTCTCCCTATTGGACGACGCATTCTTCCATGATTTCGGGCAGGTGCGCTGCCTCCG